AGATCGGACTTTCCCCAGTGTCGGCAAACTCCGCTTCCAGGACAGGATAGATTATCTTGTGACCTCGCTGAGGTGAAGAGGAATCTCAAAATATTTGGGGGGGGGGGGAATTCCCTGTAGGTTATGACTGAAGCATCAGATTAAATCTTGACTTCTATTAACCTAAATATATGTAGCGTTTAAATTTTAAAAACCCAACGAATAGTACTTTCAAATATGTATTCCAAAATTTCACTTTCAAAAGAACTGAGCTGATAACATTTGAAAAGGTAGTATTTTGTTACAATTTAGAGAACTTTTCAAGGCTAAGGGGTCATTTCCTGCAGGAGCGCACAGAAGCGGAGCTCCGGCAGTAAAAAGCCCAGGGGGCGGGCACATGCAACAAGCCCCACCCCCTGCTCCCCGCAGCCCTCAGTCAGAGCAAGAAGCAGCCAGGTAAGCTGCAGAGCCCCCCCCCCCGGCCCCCCAGTCCAAAACAGTCCAGTGGCACCTTTAAGGCTAAGTTTTATTCAGGTACAAGCTCTCCCTCCTCTGTGAGGACAGATCTGCACGTTCCCCCCCCCCCCAATAGCTAGCAATCCAAAAGAGTGCAGTGGAGCCTAAGCAGTGAGTGTTGCCTTCTGACACACTTCCGGTGATGTCAGGGGGTGTGGCATATGCAAATAAGGTATGCTAATGAGCTCCTGCACGTCTTTTTCTACGAAAAAGACTACAACCACTGAACATTTCAGAAGAATTTGTAACTGAGCAAACATCTTCACGTCCAGCGACTGCGAAGAAAGTCATCCAATCTAGCCCCACTGAAAATCAAGGTGAGGCATATAATCCACTCGTCCCCTTTAGTCAAAGGGTAAATATTTTAGAACCAAGTAGACAAACACAGAGCCTGGGCAAATACAGAGCCCCAGTTTTTCATCAAGCGAGATCACAGGTGTCAAACTAATTTGTTATAAGGGACGGATCTGACATAAATGTCACTTTTTCAGGCCATGTCATGGGTGCCATAATATGTAGTGCCAGGTACATGAGATATAAACTTCATATAGGACACAGAAAAACCCAATTAATGATATTATTTTTACTCAAAAAACAAACATGCTTAAAGCATTACCACTCCTACAGTATTTCCTTACAGTATCTCCCTGATGCCCACCTCTCCACCTCCATCGCCTGTTACGCATTAGCATTGGGACAGTATACAGGGACATAATGCACAGCCTCTGTCATTTGGTAATAAAGGTGTCAATGACCTGTTGCTCACAGATCAGATAAGAGCCCTGGAAGAGAACATTAACATTCTCTATTTGGTTTCTAAGCAAGATGCCATACAATGTTCTTTCAAAAAAGAGCCAAAAGTACCTTTCTGAATTATAAAACCAAGAATTAAAAAAAAAAAATAAACAGCACAACACTGTTCAAAACCTACTGTACAATTATTCCAAACACAGAAGTTATTTAGACTATATGCAGCACTGACTAATCAAACTGCATCATATACATTATGTCATTATTATGAATAGGATATCAGTGCCTTTTTCAATACATTTTGAAAGCAAGTGTGGATTTTTAAAAAAAATACTTTGCCCCGGAGGAAGAAACTCAGATATTGCCTCCTAGGAACAGATTTGAGCAGCTCCAAGGAGCCCATCTAGGATGGGAAAAGGTTTGTATCTCCCTCCAGCCTTGCAGTTTTCCAGACAGAACAAGGTTTGAATCCAGTGTCACCTTTATCATCATCAAAGTTTAATTCTGTGTATAAGCTTTGGTGTGCATGCACACTTCTTCAGATACACTGAAACAGACGTCCTCAAACCTTACATATAGCTGCGGGGATTTAATTGTCAGGAAGGACGAGTTACAGTCAAGATGCAAAAGTAACTGGGTGATTGGATTAGCTAAAATTGGATTAAAGCAGTCCTGTTCCTTCAGACCAACAGGGCTACCTACCTGAATCAGTCTTCCTCCTAGTGAGAACTGAGCCTCCTTTGAGAATTACCAGTGACGGTATGAATATGTGATGTCTGAAGCAAACAGCGGTGACATCCAACAACAGAAGAGTGCCAGTTAGCTGATTGGACATTCTAGCAGCATTAACGCATGCCAACAGCATGCTAGACAACAATCAATATAGATTGAAAATCACACTAAAAAGCCATATATAAATATAGTTTATTACAATGATTTGGGATAGGCTGTTGTGACTGATGTGGATATGAGGCAGGGTAAAACTACATGAAAACAAGCCAAGTGAAATGAATGAAAAATGATCTACTAATCCAAATGGATTGGGGTGCAATCACAGACATGTAACACACCCTTAGAGAACTAGTGTTTTCATCGTTTGGGATACTTGTCAGTGCTTTGCAGACCCTTGCTGATTTCAAACCTGTTGAAAGGCGATTAATTTAGGGGGAAACATTACCTCGCCGTAATCAGTTTCCCATTACAGCATAAGACGTTTCCAGTTTTAGGAATCTGATCAGAGTTAATACAGCCCAAAACAGAACTCTTTGTAAATCAGAGCTTTCTAGGAAGCAAAATATTCAGCTGAAAGGGGGGAAAGTGATTGGAAACAATTAGAAAAATAGAAAAAGGCTGTTTGTCCAGTTTGACAGACTCTTCAACCAACTCCAATCCATAGAATTTAGTTAAAAATTGACCACATTTTAAAAAATATATAGCATGAGGATGAAGACAGAAGATCTTCATACTACTGCAATACTTTCTGTTCATGACTTAGTGAACATCCCCCACCCCCAGTCTAGACTACCTGTTATTGGATCCAAACTGATTTCGCTAAGGGAGAATAATCTCTCAGACTTGCAGTGTCATTCAGCCCTGAGATTGTGTCTTGCATTGTTTTTATTTTTACTTTAAGGCTGTTTTGTGAGTTGGGGAAAGAGATTATGTTTGTATGTTCAGCATACAAACCTGAACTGGCTCACGGGGGGGTGGGGGTGGAGTAGACGATTGGATGCCACCCCCAAATCTGCCATCTTAATAAAAATGTTCTAAAGACGTCCATCATTCATCACAGCAGGCAAATCAGCTTATTCATAATCAACAAGAGCTGGCTTCAGGGTGGCATTGGACCTATGCAGTACCTTTACTATTTGTCTTAATCTGGAACAACTATTATCCTAGTTATGGATTCAGTCATTAAACACAGACTTTAAACTCTCCCTTAAACACGTATTTCTAATGTTTGGGAAACGAATATTTAATTCTGAGCATTAGAGAGGAGTAGCTGTGTTAGTCTGTAGCCGCAAAATACACCAGGAGTCCAGTGGCACTTTAAAGACTAACAAAGCATATTCCAGCATCGTGAGCTTTGGTAAATCAGAGCTCAGTTCAACAGATGCATGCACCCTAACTCCCATCGCCAGAAACAAGGGAGCTTTGACTCTTGAACGTTTACACCCCCAGAATGCTGACCTCTAAGGTGCTACTGGACCCGAATCTCGCTTTTCTACTGCAGACCAATGCAGCCACCCACCTAAAACCACCTCCACATATCCACATACACTCGATTCAGTCAGTTTTTCAGCAATACGGACTAGAACTCCACTGCATCTACAACCTTACACCCTTGAGCCATCCTGAGTAGGAAAGGACATCCAAAGGGTAAATAATCCTCGTCTAAGGGGGACCTCCTGTGCAATACTATTGTTTCCAGGCTCCTTGTGTTTTGTAGAATTTCTCTTGTTCAGTCAACATTGCACCAACTCAATAAGCAATCCATGTGATCTACACAGAATAAAATACTGCCGTCCTCCACCGCTGGAGTGGGAAACTGCCCAAAGCCCCTGTAAGAGGGGGTGCGTAAATCGCCACCCGCAGAACTCGTGACCAAGGCTCCCTCTAAGCTGCGGAGCCTTGTGAGCAAAAATTCTACTTTGTGAGCTGCTGGCATGAAAGTTGTGAGCCAGCGATTTGGCTCCTGCCTAAATCAGTTTAGGAGCTGCGGTGGCTCAAGTGGTTAAGACGCTGAACTGCAGGCTGTGGAAGGTCGGTAGTTCAGCAGTTCGAGACTCGAGTGTGCCGCGTGACGGAGTGAGCTCCCGTCTCTAGTTCCAGCTCTTGCCAACCTAGCAGTTTGAAAGCAAGGAATTGCAAGTAGATAAATAGGTAACGCTTCGGTGGGAAGGTAACAGCGTTCTGTGTGCCTTGCTGTTTAGTCATGCCGGCCACATGACCACGGAAACGTCTTCGGACA